AAACGTCAGCTTTCCTGCTCCTCTGATGCTGCTTGGCCTGCTGTGTTCATCCAGCTCTACACCTTGTTGTCCACCATCTGTCATGGCGGGATTTGAACCCAGGTCCCCAGAACATTGTGTCTTTGAATTAACAGTTCAGCAATAATACCATTAGGCCATCGCCTCCCCTAGTATCTTGGAGTAGTTAAGATTTAGAGCCAGCAAATAATGGTTCCTAGGTTTAAACTAAAATGTGTAATTTTTCAAAACAGTGATCAATTGTAAAATAAATGATTAATACTTCACAAAATCTAATCTCCTTAGTGACAATAAACGGATGTTCAGAAAGTTATGAAGTACTGAAGAATAGTGTGGTTTACTTTTTATTAATTTGTTTTGATATTGCTTCTGCTTTAGCTGAAATGTTACAGCTTTATTGCTGAATGACAATGTTTAAGAATTGTTTCACCTTCTTTCCGGTCAGCATATTTCAACGACATTGCAGTGGGTGCAGTGTGCTGTAGAGTGGATCATTCGCAAAACCAGAAGCGATTGTACATCATGACCCTGGGATGCCTGGCACCGTATCGCAGGCTAGGAATAGGTAAGCTGAACAAGATCACAAAATCATGATTCTTCTGGTGCCTCTGACTCCTGAAATTTCTTATCTAATAAGGCTAGGTCATATTGACTATACTTGTATTCGTTGGATCATTGAAACTTAAGAGCTTGTCTAATTACAGGGTTTAAAATGAATCGAGTTTATAGGCTGGATAGAAAGTTGATAGATTAAATAGAGACATTACATAGGGAGTACTCACATTCTATTCGATTACTATGTTGAATGGTAGTGGTGAACTGCAATGGAAGAAACAGCTTGTTCTCAAGGTTGGCTTTTTTCTTGATGTGGTTTTGTTTATCCAGTGCATTTCTAGAACATTATTACAAGCAATGCAACATCAAATGTTTGTTCTGACCATTAAACTTCACAATTGCTGGTTAGCTTCACTGGTTAGTTTCATTCGTCAGCTCAAGACTTCTGCGAATGAATGAGTCAGAAGCACTGTACAAGTTGTAAGTGATGTCATCACTCCTATGGAAGTTAAATTGACACTGTTAGCGTAGTGTAGAAGTTTATTTGGAACTCCAATGAGTCTCATTTTTCCTATCCTATGTGAAGTGATATGAACTGTTTGTGTTTCATGAATTTCCTCTGAAAAAACTTATACTGTACGTCAGATGTTGGTGATGAGTTGACTGCCCTTGCTGCCTGCTGTCCCTACTGGAACCCCAGAATGCAAAGCCGTGCTTTTTTTGGGGTCACTCTGGATGAGGATGGCTACAAGCCAAATGTAGTAAACAAACTTTATTTACAAGCAAATTGCTTTTATCAAAGAACTGCAGAAATGTGTGCCAGGAGGAAGTATTGTCTTTGGGGAAAAAAAAACTACAGTGGATCATAAGATGTGGAAACAGAAGTAGGCTATTTGGCCCATTAGTCCACTGTCTCATTCAATGAGAATTCATGGCTAATCCGATAATCCTCAACTCCATTTACCAGCCTTATCCCGTAACCCTTGATTCCCTTACTGATTAGAAATCTGTTTATCTCAACTTTGAATATACTAACGACCCAGACTTGACAGCCATCTTCAGTGAAAGATTCCATAGAATTCCTTCTGAGGGATAGAATTTCCCCTTATCTCTGTCTTAATTAGGTGACTCCATATTCTGGGATTATGTCCTCACTTCCTAAACTTCTCCCACATGGGGAAACAACATCTCCGCATATGTCATGCAAACCTCCGATCAATCTTGTGTTGCGAAAAGATTTCCTCTAACCTCCTAAGCTCCAATGAATACAAGCCCAACGTAGACTTAATATTTTCCCAATGACAGGCTAAATTACCTTTTATTGTCTCTCTCTCTCTCTCTCTTTGACTAAGGGTGTTACGTTGGCAGTTTTCCAATCCTCTGGGACTTGTCCAGAATTTAAGGATTGGAAGATTGCTATCGATACATCCACTATTACTGTAGCTACTTGCTTTAAAATCCTACATTGAAACCCATTAGATCCAAGAACATACCAGCTTTTAGCCCCATTAGTTTCCGTAGTAGTTTTTCTCTAGTGATAATTATTATGTTTGTTCTTCCAAGTCTAGAGGGCTGCATCTCTACTCTTGGGTTTACTTGGGATCTCTGCATGACTTCTTGGGGAAGCCAGGATTTGATTTCAGACAGGGGAAACTAGCTAATGAAAAACAAGACTTGAATTTATCAATCTTGGTATGTTCCAAAGTGCTTCACAGACAGGGAAGTACTTTTGAAGAGTAATTGCTGTCTGCTATAGGAATTGTAGCAGCCAATCTATAAACAGTAAAATCTCACAAGCAGCATGGCAACAACAGCTAGATTGTATTACAGTGATAGTCATTTCAGGATAAATTACCTCAATGCCATGATATCTAGGATAACCCCTGTGCTGCTTCAGTGCCATGAAGTCTTTTATGCTCATTTGAGGAGACAGATGAGACTGTTTAGTTTTGCATCTAAAAGATGACCCCCTTCAACAATGCAGTGTTTCTGCAGTACTATAGCAGAGTGACTGCCTGAATTTTGTGCACAAGTTTATGAATTTGTAGAATATTGTCAGGAGGCCATTTGGCCCATTCAGTCTCTGGCAGTCTTTTTGAAGAGCATTCTAAAAATACACACTCCCTGATTCCTTACCCATACCTCAGTAGTGTTTCTTGACTTTAATGTATTTATCCAACCCTTTTTGAAAATTACTTTTGAATCTGTTTGTATCAACCTGTCAGCTAGTACATTTCAACATCGTAACTTAATAAAAACTGAAAGACCTGCAGATGCTGGAAATCAGAAACAAAAAACAGAAAATGCTGGAAAAACTTAGCAGGTCTTGCAAATAGATGCTGGCAGTGTTTCCAGCAATTTGTTATGGCTTCTGATTTCCAGTATCCACAGTGCTTTGGTTTTTCAGCTATTCTTTGTGTTACCTCTGTTTTGCCATTTATCCTAAACCCATGCCCTGATTCTTCAGCCATTTGCAGTCAGGTTCCCTTTATTGGCCACCTCTGTTGACAACCTTTTACTTTTTTTAAACATTGCTATCAAATCTTCTCTTGACCTTCTCTGATCTAAAGAAAGCAATCCAAGCTTCTCACAGGCTGGTAATCCCTCATTGCTGGAACCAATCTGGTAAATCTTTTCAAATTCTTTACATTTTTCCTGATGTGTAGTGTACAAAATTGGATGTAATAGTCCAGTGATAGTAGGAACTGCAGATGCTGGAGAATCCGAGACAACAAGTTGCAGGGCTGGACGAACACAGCAGGCCAAGCAGCATCATAGAAGCAGAGAGGCTGACGTTTCGGGCCTAGACCCTTCAGGCCCGAAACGTCAGCCTTTCTGCTCCTATGATGCTGCTTGGCCTGCTGTGTT